CTATATATATATATATATATATATATATATATATAATTTATGTTAGGGTGCTCATACTATAGAGCATTTTTATAATTGTACTCAACAAATTTTGTACACTTATATACCCTTGTTTTGTAATACAATATTTTTTTAGTAATGGTATTTTTGGTCATTAGGAGGGGTGTGGCATCATCCACATGGGGTGTGACATCACCCACATGGAGCACATCCATTAGCGTAGAAGCAGAAATTGGATTCCACATTTAACTTTTGAATCCAAGTTCCTTTCATCCGAAAATTCAAAAAGGCAGTATATTGCGTATGAAAGCTTTGTAACCATCTGCTGCATCTCATCCGTCTAAAGATTCATCATTGGATGAGATGCGGTGCAATTGCTAGCTCCAATAAAACTGGTAATTACAATATATTACAATAGGTTTTGAACCTTCACTTACTACTTCAATATGAACAATATAGGGTCCTATGTTTGTACCATGGTTGGGTGCAAAACCTTCACTCCTATATAAACTTTCATTGACTAGTTTGGATAAGCAGTTTAAATTTGTTATTTTGACTGGGTTTTATTTCTAAATTTCATAAAAGGTGGCTTTATTGAACACACAAGTAAAATTTCTCACCTCCGACTTCTGCCTTTTGGGACCAAAATTTAGCTAGATAATGACCATGTTTATCTGCCATTTTCAATTCCCAACGTTGTTGTCATTCGAAAATTGCGTATTCTGACTGCAACAATTTGCAGGTTGACTTGTTACTGCTATTCTACTGAATCGACTTAAAACACGTTGTTTCTTCAACTAATACTGGTGTTTTGAACGTAAGGAATTCAGATTCCCAAATTATCACGGATATTACTTCAAGGAGGATGAAGCTTGAAGTTTTGATGTATGGTGGACAAGTAACTAATAACCTGTCCTCTGCTACTCATTTGGTGATTGTTTCAACAACAGACTTTCATGTGGACTGCTGTGCGCTGCTCGAGAGGTGCATAATCTCGGGTTTTTCTATTCCTCCTCCATGTTATGGTAATGGGGTGTATACTCAATGCGTTGGACTTTGGAAAGTCATAGTCCATTGGGTTCATCACTGTCCAGTGAGTTGGAGGGTGATGGAGAGGGAGTGGGACCCAGTGAGCCACTATTGAGATCTTGTCCTCTTCTGGTGTGTCCCACTCGCTCTCCATTCCCATCTGTAATTTCATTGAATCGGTGACGAGATTATGGTTTTCAATACTCTATTGGACTATACATTTCCTCTGTGATATCATGCATTCCCATGCAGGTTTTAATTTTTGTGCTTAGTTACCAGCAATGTTTTAAAACCCCAGAATCGGGTTTTTAATTTGCCCTTGATGAACTGATCCGCATTGAACCTCCGGTGAACTGATCAAGATCAGCCAAATTAGGCAATCTTGGTTGGCGAGATCGAGGAAAATAATGATAGTAATATAAAAATGCGTGAGAATCGGGTGATGCCAGTGGCCATAGACCCATATTGCCCAACCCCCAAACCCAATCTAGATCGAGCGATTCCTATCTAGATTGCTGCCTTTCAATGCCTTGGTTACAAGCATTGTGACTCCTGGCATCTAATATGTCTGGTTTGCAGTTTTCCAGATTCAGAGAGACGTTTCCTGAGGAATAAAAGATTGCATATTCTAAGGCACAAATGGATAGAAGACTGCTTGGAAGAGGGTCAGAAACTGCAAGAGGATGCATATAATTTGAGGCCAGAAAGTGTGGAATGGATGTTAGAACCAGAGTATGTATTGTGTAACCTTGATCAACTGCTACCTTTTGTATGCTATCTTTTGTAAGAGTTTTGTTTCTTTTGAACCTCCTGTTTATTGGGAGTGAGAGACCGCCCTGCTATATTTTGAATCCTATGTATGTCCCCTTGATTGCACTTATGTTTTTATATATATAACTACCCTTTTAAATAGCAAAATGCGAAGAGATTGACTTTTTCTGTTGGTTAAATTTGTATTTTTATCATTTCAGAGGATCTGATTTTGGTGTGTCGGAGAATTTGGATACAAGCCAAAACCAAACTTGCAGAATAAAAAGCAGACAGAAACCAACAATTCGTGAGACTGTAAAAAGAAAAAGAAGGGGTGGAATCCCAGCACGAAGTACTCGTGCTAGGCGTGGCCGAGCTGTTAGAATCAGTGGAAATGAATCCGAGAACAGTGATTCTCATGATGAATTAAGCTTTAGGGAACAAAAAGAAGAACAACATCAGTCTGTCAATGCTGTACATGGTGACAACATGGAGGAGGGGATGGTAGAAGCAGAGTATGTATCACATAACCTTGCGACTGCTACCTTTGATAATAGTTTTGTTTCGTTAGGACCTCCTTATTGAAAGGGAGAGGCGACCGTGCTATATGGCATCACTTCAAATGCACTTTTATTTCTATATATAAGTAGCCTTTAGGTGGGAAGTCGAGAAGAGTTTTTCTGACAATGCAATCTGTGTTCTCATTTTCTCAGAGGATCTGATTTTGATGTATCGGGAAATTTGGATGCAAGCAAAGGCCGAACAGTTACTGCTTCAACTCACGGGAAAGCAAATGGACAGAAACCAACAGCTCATGCGACTATAAAAAGAAAAATAGCAGGTGGAATTCAAGCACGAAGTACTCACTCTAGACGTGGTCGAGCAGTTAGAATCAGTGGAAATGAATCTGAGAAAAGTGATTCTCATGATGCATTGTGCCTTAGGGAGCAAAAAGAAGAAAGATGTCAGTCTGAAAATGTTACACATGGTGACTACATAAAGGAGGAATATACTATCAAAGATGGCAAGAGCCCTGATAGAGAGCATGTAAAGCCTTATAACGCTGCATGTGGTGTAAACGTAGAGAGAGAAGCACGTAACCAGGAAGGTGAAAAAGCAGAAGAAAAAGGTATGAAATTTATGTGACTGGGTGTCTATCGCTTCAACATAGATTTTCTTTCCAGGCTATAGGTGTGATTCCAGCATGTTCAGCCGAATCTAACTCTTTAGAGGAGTTATTTTCTGGTGCTATACTTTTACTGCTAGAACTTCCTTCCTCACTTTTCCCTTTAATATCATGAATGGGCCCAAATTAGTTAACTGGTCGAGTCAGAGTATGATAACATGAAAATCATTTGGATGCCTTTAATGCTGAACCCAAATAGTTGGGAAAAGGCTTTGATGGTGATGATGATGAATAAGATACCCTTAACATTCCCCAAGAACTTGCTTGATTCAAGTGTATACGATGTAATTTGACATCTCTCTCTCTCTCATTTATGGTTTATTGACAGGTATATATGGTTATCTCTACTACCTTATTAAGCCACAGTTAGGGTTGGACACATATCTCAATAAAGGGGCACTCTATCTCTAGAGTGGATTTAGGAGATGTGAATCTCAAATAGAGATGTTTAGGGCATAATTTAGGATATCTTTTTAATTTTTTGAAAAAAAATCTCTTTTAGATAGAGAGATATTTTAGGATTGGCTAGAGAAAATATATGTACTTGAGAAATTTTGGGAGAGAAATCTTCATGTATGAAATATATATTATTAAAAATAGAGAATTTATCAATTGCACCACATTTTTTAACTATTTAACATTTTTCTATTCCAACTTAAAAGGATGTAAATTTTGATAGGCATTCTGAAGTTAAATGAAAACATATGGGTAAAATGTTAAATTGTTGATATCTTAAATTTATTTTGACAAAATTTCCCTTAAAAATATATGAAAGTGAAAATAAACATATTCTAATGTGTATTAGGCCACTTTTTAATAACATATGACCAGCAAAATATACTCCACCCTTAATATATTTATACTATTTCAATAATAAATATTTCACTAATAATGATAATAAATAACAATATAAATAGTACTATTAAATAATGTAATAGGACTACGTGTAATTATTATATCTTACGATAAAATCATTATTATAATAATTAGACAAGAATATAATATCATAATATTAAGGGTGTCGTTTCTACAAGGTTGCAACCTTAAATGCACCTCCAAATTTTATCATAACTTGTAATTTTGTTGTAAAAATTCTTAGGATTATCTTACAATCTATTTTCATATCTAATTAGAAAATTTTAAACTCCAAAAATGGTTAAAATCAAGTAGATCTATAAAACATATGAAAATCTTAAAAATGGACGGTCTAGATAATGTGTTGCAAGAGGCACTATTTCTGGGACTCAAACACTCTTTTTTTGTTTTTTCATATTCATACATCTCAATATTGAGATGATCAATTAGATGGTTTTTCAACATTAAAACAACCTTTCCAATATATTTTTGAGGTGCATCTATTGTTCTTCATTTTAAGGTTGCAACCTTATATAAACTTTTTCGTCATATTAATATCATAATATTAATGTTAATATAATAGTATAATATTTCAAACATAAATAACAAAATAATCGTCATCATCATCATCATAGTCTTTTTCCAAATTATCGACCTACATGAATCCTGTTCTGCCATTCTGCTATATTAAAAGCCATACTTGCAGTGAGGCTATAAATTCCCATATCTTTTCGAACTACTCTCAACCATGTCCTTTTGGGCCTACCTCTTATCCTTTTCAGTCATTTCACTTGAACTATCTCGCATCTCCTGACAACAGCTGTATTTGGTCGTCGCCACATGGCTAGGCCACCTAAGTCTTCTTTCTCTCATCTTATCGCTTATTGGTGCCACACCTAAATTCTCTTGAATGGATTCATTTCGAAATCTATCCCTTCTCTTTCCATTCATCCATCTCAACATCCTCACCTCTGTTACACTTATTCTATGGGTATATTTTTTTTTTTTGTCCGCCTTACATTTTGTCCTATCGAGCAAAGCTGGTCTAACAATTGTCCTATAGAACTTGCCTTTTGGCTTCATTGGTATGTGGCGATCACATAAAATTATGGTTGCACATCTCCACTTCACCCACCCAACTCTAATTTTGTGTGCAACATCTTCATCGATCTCTCCATTTTTCTGGATTATCGACCCAAGATATTGAAATTGTGGTCTTTTTTGTACTTCCTGACCGTCAATCTTAACTAATTCCCCATCTCTACTCCTATTATTACTAAACTTCAATTCTATATACTCTATTTAGTCTGGCTAATTTTAAAACTTTTGGATTCTAGAGCATCCCTCCAAAGTTCTAACTTTGTGTTGACGTCGTTTCGGGTCTCATTGATCAAAACTATGTCATCTGCAAACATGTGCCATGGTACCTCATCTTGTAGGTGCGTAGTTCAGTCGTCCATAACTAAGACAGAGAGGTATGGGCTCAATGTTGACCCTTGATGTGAATCTATTATCACTGAAAACTCACTTGTCTCTCCACTAGTTCATACACTAGTTAGTGCATCATCGTAGATATCACTCACCAAGTCGATGTAGTGTTTAGAGACTCCTTTTGTTTTGAACAACCACCATATCAAATCTCGAAGTAGTCTATCATAAGTTTTTTCTCGATCAATAAAGATCATGTGAAGGTCTTTTCCCTTCGCCCTAAACTTCTCAATCAGTTGCCTAAGTAGGAAAATAGCCTCAGTTGTTGACTTTTCTAGCATAAAACCAAATTGATTTTCAGATACACTTGTTTCATATCTTAATCGTTGCTCAATCACTTTCTCTCAGAGCTTCATAGTATGACTCATAAGTTTGATCCCTCGATAATTCACACAATTCCGTATGTCTCATTTGTCCTTGTAAATAGTTCCCACAAGTAAATAGTTACCACAATACTTTTCATCCATTCGTCTAGCATTTTCATTGTTCTCAACACCTTGTTGAATAGCTCAATGCCAATCTCCCCCATGCGCTTTCAAACCTATATCGGGATACCATCTGGTCTTAAAGCTTTTCCTATCTTCATCATTTTCAATGCTTGTTTCAGTTCTGACGTCCTAATCCTACGAATGTATCTATGACCTCCGCCCTCATTTGTACCACCAATTCCTTCTATCGTTATGTTCCTATTTTGTTTGTCATTTAATAACTTTTGAAAATAAACTCATCACCTTTCATTGACCTCGTCATCTTTCACCAAGACCCTTTGATCCTCACTCTTAGTGCATTTAATATGGTTTAGATCCCTACTTTGTTTTTCTCTAATTTTTGCTAATTGGAAGATATCTTTTTCACCTTCTTTGTTGCAGTTTATTGTATAGATTATCATATGCCTTAAGTTTAGCTTTACTTTCTTTTTGTTTAGCGTTTTTCTTAGTATTTTTATGCTCTTCTAAATCGTTTCTATTACATTGCTAAGTTTTATAACATGATCATTTTTTGTTAATAGCCTTTTGAACCTCATCACTCCACCACCAAGTCCTTATTGGAGTTTCTTTTCCCTCTAGATTCTCCTAAATAACAAAATAAAAAATAAATCAATATAAAATATGAATATTATAACTATATAACACTCTTATTATTGTATAACACTCTTATTATTGAATATTATTGCTATTTTGAAGATATCTTTTTCACCTTCTTTTGTTGCGGTTTATTGTATAGATTATCATATGCCTTAAGTTTGGCTTTACTTTCTATTTGTTTAGCGTTTTTCTAACTATTTTTATGGTCTTCTAAATCGTTTCTATTGCACTACTAAGTTTTATAACATGATCATTTTTCGTTAATGTTCTTTTAAACCTCATCACTCCACCAAGTTTCCTTATTGGAGTTTCTTTTCCTTCTAGATTATCCTAAATAACAAAATAATAAAAAAATAAATATAAAATATGAATATTATAACTGTATAACACTCTTATTATTGTAATAATTATGGTATCATAACATCAATGTTAATATAATATTATTTCATATACCAATTTTTGTATTTTCTTTTTTCTTTTTGTTTCCTAAAAGTTGATAAAGAAAAATGTGTCTAGATAAACTATGATTATAAATTATAAAATTATAATTGTATTAATTTACTACGAATTATTTTTTTATAATTAGGAAAAATATTCGGTGAGTCAAGGGATTCATCTATGTATGTGTGCCCCACTGTAGAATCCATCTTAAAGATGGATTTTGGATCCCAAATCATAGGATTTGCTAATCTCAACCATGGAAGTCAAAATTTTCTTTTCTGAAAAATAGATATTGCGTTTTTTGAATTTTTTCCCGCTATCTATTTGGCCTTTTTGTGGAGGCACCATTTTTTGATGTCCGTCTCTAAGATCGATGTGTGATACATAAGGAGACTCACAAAAATAGGTCAGTCGGCTCACTCACCATAACCCGGGTTCATATAATTACTGCATAACTGTTAAAACTATAATTATATAAAAATGATGATTTTGTATATTATGTACTACAAATCACATATTAATATAATATTTTCATATAAAAAATTAATACCTAAATGGACTGGGCCCTACATTTTTTAATACTTCTTAAACTATTCTCTCGTTCTCTCTAAGAAACATCTTTATGCTTTCTCCCTATGTATTTAAATTGATCTATTACGTGCAAATCACGTTGTCCATTTATTATTATCCATCATCATCATCCTTAAAATCATTTCACAACTAATTGGGGTCGGCTACATGAATCCTGGTCTGTCATTCTACTCTATTAAGGGTCATACCTTCAGTGAGGCTATAAGTTCCCGTATTTTTTCTCATTACTTCTAACTATGTCCTTTTGAGTCTACCATTTGCCTTTTTTTAGCCGTTTCCACTTGAATCAACGCAGACCTCCTAACAAGTGTTATATTGTGTCTGCGCGTCACATGGCCAGCCCATCTAACTCTAGTTTCTCTCATCTTATTGGCTATGGGAGCCACACTAAGGTTCTACCTAAATTGAGACTAAATTGAAGTTTGGTGATTACATTGGAGGACAAAATGTGGTAGGGCATTGGAGGAGACTAAGAATGTGTATTTGATTACCTTGGAGGGCAAACTATGTTAGGATATTGGAGGAGACTTATATTAATTTTATGTGATTTTTTATCTTATTGTATTTATCTTTTGTGCTTGATACAGTAGAAAGGAAGGCCACGCAAGTAGAAACAAATCCAGGTAGTATGAAAGATCCAGTTGAGGCTATGCTGTTTGATATGATACCTAGCCTTGGCTTCAAGATTGATGAAACAGAGAATGCCTCGTCAATGGCTGGGCCCGATAATGAAGCGATGGCTTGGATGGACCCAACCCTATTAAAAAAGAAGAGAGTGAGTTATAAGGATGTAGCTAATGAGCTGCTAAATGACTAATTTTTGTGCAGTTGATAATTCGCAGGCCTGTTTGCTTTAGGGTTGCTTGTAATACAACTTTATGCTTGTTAGCTAGGTGTTTTCTCTCTTTGTAGTCTCGGTAAATTAAGTGTCAAATTTTTTGTTGGTTTTGCTTGGGCCCTGTACCTGTATGTGAGTGAAAGCTAGTGTCAATCTGGTAGCATTATTGTTTCTATTCTGGTGTCTTTTGTAATCTGATCATTTTTTGTTGGTTTTGCTTGGGCCATGTACCTGTATGTGAGTGAAAGCTAGGGTCAATCTTGTAGCATTATTGTTTCTTTTCTGGTGTCTTTCGTAATCTGATCAAGTGTGCTTTTTTCATGCCAAAGTAACATTATTACTTTTCTTGCACAAAACTCACGCTCTTTCTTCTCCAAATCTTTAGACAAGAGCTCTCTCTCTCTCTCTCTCTCTCTCTCTCTCTCACACACACACACACAC